GAAAACAGCTGGACAAACCCCCAAAGCTTGGGACAGTACATTCTCCACACTAGAAATAGACTCTTACCTTAACAAAGAGTTGAAAACTCAAGTAATTGGTTGGGATCATGAGCAAGCAGTGCAAAAAGAGTCATACTATATTATCTTACCTTGGTGACAAAGAAGATCAAAACATAAAACCAGAAGAAGAAAACAAAGCCAAAGTTCCTACATCCAAAACTTCCAAGAAAAATATGAAATCAGTCCCAGGCCTTGGAAGAGCTCAAAAGGGATTTTGAGAAGCAAGTAAGAGAAGTAGAGGAAAAAGTGAGAGTTTTCCAAGAAAATCATGAAAAACAAGTCAACAGCTTGCTAAAGGAGACCCAAAAAAATAATGAAGAAAATAACACCTTAAAAAATAGCCTAACCCAAATGGCAAAAGAGGTCCAAAAAGCCAATGAAGAAAAGAATACCCTGAAGAGCAAAATTGGACAAATGGAAAAGGAAGTCCAAAAGATTACTGAAGAAAATACTTCCTTAAAAATTAGAATAGAACAATTGGAATTTAGTGACTTTATGAGAAACCAAGACACTGGAAAACAAATCCAAAAGAATGAAAAATTAGAAAACAATGTGAAATATCTCATTGGAAAAACAACTGACCTGGAAAATAGATCCAGGAGAGAGAATTTAAAAATTATTGGACTACCTGACAGCCATGATCAAAAAAAGAGCCTAGACATCACCTTTCAAGAAATTATCAAGGAAAACTGCCCTGATATTTCAGAACCAGAGGGCAAAATAGAAATTGAAAGAATCCACTGATCTCCTCCTGAAAGAGATCCCCAAAGGAAAACTCCTAGGAATATTGTAGCCAAATACCAGAGTTCCCAGGTCAAGGAGAAAATATTACAAGCAGCTAGAAAGAAACAGTTCAAGTATTGTGGAAACACAATCAGGATAACACAAGATTTAGCTGCTTCTACATTAAGGGACCGCAGGCCATGGAATACAATATTCCAGAGGGCAAAGGAGACAGGATTACAACCAAGAATCACCTACCCAGCAAAACTGAGTATAATCCTGCAGGGGAAAAAATGGTCATTCAGTGAAATAGAGGACTTTCAAGCATTCTTGATGAAAAGACCAGAGTTGAATAGAGAATTTGATTTTCAAATACAAGACTCAAGTGGAACATGAAGAGGTAAACAGGAAAGAGAAATCATAGGAGACTTATTAAGGTTGAACTGTTTACATTCCTGCATGGAAGATGATATTTGTAACTCATGAGACCTTTGTCAGTATTAGGGTAGTGGAAGGGAAAAAATTATATGTATGTATAGATAGATAGATAGATAGAGGGCACAGGGTGGGTTGAAGATGAAGGGGTCACACCTGGAGAATAAAATTAAGGGGTGAGAGACGATTATACTAGAAGAAAGAGAAAGGGAGAGGTAGAACAAGGTAAATTATCTCACAAAAAAAAAACAGAAAAAAAAAGGCTCTTACAGTGGAGGGGAACAGGGGGAAGGTGAAAGGGAATGAGTGAATCTTATTCTCATAGGATTTGACTTAAGGAGGGAATAACATACACACTCAATAAGGTATGGAAATCTGTCTTACCCTACAGGAAAATAGGAGGGGAAGGGGACAAGAGAGTAGGGGAATGATAGAGAGGAGGGAAGATTGGGAAAGGGAGTAATCAGAAGCAAATACTTCTGAGGAGGGACAGGGTCGAAAGAATAGAATAAATGGGGGGGGGCAGGATAGGATTAAGGGAAATAGAGTTAGTTTTTCACAGCATGTCTACTATGGAAGTGTTTTGCATAACTGCACATGTATAACCTATATTGAGTTGCTTGCCTTTTCAATGAGGGTGGGTGTGGAGGGAGGAAGGGAGAAAATTTAGAACCCAAAGTTTTAAAAACACATGTTTAAAAAAGATGTTTTCACATGCAACTGGGAAATAAGAAATACAGGAAATGGGGTACAGAAATCTATCCTGCCCTATAGTAAAGTAGAAGGAGAAGGGGATAAGGGAAGGGGAGGAGAGATAGAAGGGAAGGAAGACTAGGGAAAGGGGTATTCAGAATGTATGCCATCTTGGGGTGGGGGGTCGAGATAGGGTAAAAATTTGGAACTCAAAATCTTGTAGAAGTAAATGTTGAAAACTAAAAATAAATAAATTTATTAATAAAAAAATAACAAAATACTTTAATACTTTATGAATCTGTAATTCTGTCTGGGTGGGTATTTCACTGATGTGGATAGTAACTCTAATATAACTCTGTAGATGACTTCTGAGGGTTGTTGGGGCTAAAAAATTCATCACCCTATAACCAAAGTGGCAACAACCTCCCCCAACTCAGGCTGGACTTTGGACAAGATACATAAAGTCCATTATCTGACTGGTACTTGAAGCCTTTCCAGCCTGGTCATACCTACTAGCTGAGGCTGAGAATCCAGGTATCTGCATAGGTAGAGGAAGTATGGGACAAAATCCCAAATTCTTGAAATATTATTTAAAACACACATATGACAAGGGTAAAACCAAGGTGGAAGGCTGAATGCCTCTGTGAGCTCTGGAAAGAGCCTTGGCTTTGGTCAACTCCTAGATCTGCCACTTACTAATACTGGTGACTATGAAAAGTCACATAAACCCTCTGAGTCTCAGTTTCCTTGACTACAAAATGGGGACAATAATAGTTGTTTGGACCACCTATCTCTGAGGGTTGTTGTGAAGAATGAGCCTTGTAAAAAGTACAAAGCCTTATAAATGTTATTTTTATGTTACTTATGAACAATAAATCAAATTAGTTTTAAATAACCATTTTGTCTTAAGTTATTCTTTGTATAACACTGATTTTTAAAAAATCATTCTAACAAATGACTACTCTAAATTTTGGAAATTCTGAATATTTCAGGCAAATTTAATTTCAGGTCAAAAAGCTTAAGGAGATAATAAACTATCTTTCTACGTTTGGGTGTACACTGAGGCAAAAGACCAGGAATAACTTTTATGTAAGTGTTCAAGCACAGTAAATTCAGGTTCCCTATATTTAATATTTCCTACATGTAATCTATGTTATACTTGGTTTATAGTTTTGTTAAAAAATCTTTTCAATAGTAATTATGGCTATTTTTGTTTTTGTTATTAATAAAGGGAATAAGCTTCTCAGCCATGAAGTAGAGAATCTCCTGATAGCCCTCTTATCTCTGCTCTCTTTCTACATTGCTGCTCTAAGTGTGATCTTCATAGTCATCTCCAAAGTAAGTCAAACTTACTATTGCTTCTTTTTTAAAGTTTTATTAATTATATTAATTATAATTATATTAATGTTAAATATTATTAATTGGAATGTATTTATAAGAATCTTTTTTTTTCATCTCAGAGGACCTCCCCTCCTAATAACTTATATATAATCCTCTCTTACAACAATTTCATAAGCTCCTGGCCTTAACTGACGTACACAGACATATATCAGTGTCCTAGTAAAAGTCTATTAACAGAGACAGTGCTGATGAAAAAACCAGAAGCTAACTTGAAACAATTAAGCACAAAGTACTTGGGATATTTCTTGTGTGTATTCATTACACTTTCTATTGGACCTATTTATTTTATTAATGATTTTAAAAGATTTGTGTACATTTCAGAAAATATGAATATTAGCTTTTTGTTTTATTAACTAAACATTATGTTGAATATTATGGAAAAACTTGGACCTTATACTAGGGCATGGATTCTTAATGTTTTTTGTGTCATGGATATCTCTGGTAGTCTGGTAAAGTCTGTAGACCCCTTCCCATAAAACTGTTTTTAAATGCATAAAATAAATAAGATCACAAAAGAAACCAATTATATTAAAATATAGATATCAATTTTTTAAAAAGTTCATGGTCCCCTGGTTAAGCAGCTCTGTGTTAAGGCAAAAGGTACTTCTCAGAATTCTTTAGAATATATAAAAATGTTTTTATAAATATTTTCCTTTTTTAGCAGTTAAAATTGAAAACACCAAAGAAAACAGGAACTTGTGAAGCACCACAGAAGGTACAGAACATATATTAATGCTTATACAACATTTTTAAAAGTATGTCTATTTATAAAGAATAAGTTCAAATCTAATATATTTTACAATCAGTATTTAGACTCCCCCCCCCCCAAAATGCACTGTGACATTATCCCAATATTTAGACTTAGGGAAAAAATCATTCTTGCCACTAGAAACAAGATTAGACAACTCAGTAGTCATTCTTTCATCCACAAAATGTCATTTAATTTTACATTACTCACCCATAACTTTCATTTGATGTACCTATAGAAAGCACACAACAAAGTTAAGTTCTTGGGGAGGGGGGAAAGCATTGGTAATACAGAATAACTACCTTTCTCTGTCCTAATTTAAGCTACAAAAGAGAGAATAACTTTCTCATCCTTCTTTATAGAAGAGGAGTGCTCGACATATTTTTCAGGAAATTGCACAAGAACTACATAATAAGAGATATGTGGAAACAAAACATGAAGTAAGTATGTGCTATCACAAACCTGCAATGTCTTATTTTATGAAAACTAACACTGAAAGCTGAAAGCTTACAGTATATAGCTATGTTTTCTTAAGAAAAGACTAAAATAGGAGTCTGAAAGAAATGAATTAGTTTTTTCATGTACTATGTAATGTTATATAGAATAATAAATGTTAGAGACAAATACAACCTTTTATCGGACCACTGGATTATGGGCAACCTTTTCAACAGACATGGACATTTTGTACATTAGACTGCAAACTCCAAAAGGGTCTGAGATTATATCTTCAGTTTTTTTTATATTCCCCACTCAAGAAATATTCAGTGAATCAATGAAAGATAATACTTATTTCCAAATGCATTACGTGGAAAGGTTTGTATGAAGGGCTACCACCTCAAACAACCTAGGATTCATTTTCATGTAAGTTTCATATGAGCTAGCATGCTAAGACTGTCCTCATCTGGAAGGACTAAATAAAAACAAAAATTAAAGAATACATATAACCCTTTGGGTTAATAATTGCAAAGAGTACTCTTTTAAAATTTGTGCCTTCATAGGGGAAATAATTTTGTTTTGATAGGTCCCAAATGAGGAAACAAAAATTCAGATGTTGAAAGATCTCTTCATTTATAAACCAAAGGGAATATGACAGAACAAGGCTTATCATGTGGAGCTTCTGATGGACGTTCCTTTTAAGCTTTTAATAATAAATTCTCTCCCCAATTGATAGATGGTCAAAGGATATGAACAGGCAGTTTTCAGATGAAGAAATTAAAGTCATCTGTAGTCATATGAAAAAATGCTCTAAATCACTATTGATTAGAGAAATGCACATCAAAACAACTCTGAGGTACCACGTCACACCTATCAGATTGGCCACGATGACAGAACAAGAAAATGATAAATGTTGGAGAAGATGTGGGAAAATTGGAACACTAATGCATTGTTGGTGGAGTTGTGAAATGATACAACCATTTTGGAGAGCAATTTGGAACTATGCCCAAAGGACTATAAAAATGTGCATACCCTTTGACCCAGCTATAGCACTTCTAGGGCTATATCCCAAAGAGATCATACAAATGGGAAAAGGACCCACATGTACAAAAATATTTATAGCAGTTCTTTTTGGGGAGGCAAAGAATTGGAAATTGAGAGGATGCCCATCAATTGGGGAATGGCTGAACAAGCTGTGGTATATGAATGTAATGGAATACTACTGTGCTGTAAGAAATAATGAGCAGGTGGACTTCAGAAAAACCTGGAAAGACTTGTATGAACTGATACTGAGTGAAGTGAGCAGAAGCAGGAGAACGTTGTACACAGTAACAGCCATGTTTTATGATGACTAATATTGATGAACTTAACCCTTCCCAGCAATACAAGGATCTAAGACATCTCCAAAGGCCTCGTGATAGAAAATGCTATCCATATCCAAAGAAAGAACTATGGAGTTTGAATGCAGATCGAAGCATACTATTTGCTATTTTTTTTCTTCTGTTGAGTTTTGTTTCCTCTTTCTGGTGGTTCCTCCTATTGGTCCTAATTCTTACTTACAACATCACTAATGTGAAAATATGTGTAATAGGAATGTAAATGTATAGCCTATATCAGATTATGCACCGTCTTGGGGAGGGTGGTAGGGAAGGAGGGGGAGAAAAATTTTAAACTCAAAAGCATATGGAAGTGATTGTTGATAAATCAAAATAAATTAATTTAAAAAATAATAAATTCTCAATGGACCAAGACTCAAGAGATAAAGTGAATTCAAGGAATGCAAAAGCAAGAAGTAGATGCTTGCTAGTTGTTATATTGATTTCTGCTTTATTTCTAAAGAGGAAAATGAGGTATAATGAAATAACTTCTTTCACTGGGTAAAGAAATGAACTGTTAGGGCCAGAAGGAAGGATTAACAAGTCAAAGATTAGCATATGTGTAAATTGGGAAACAAAAAAATTCCTAGAAGAAAGACCCATGTCTTTCTTATTATGTTAGAGTCACATAAGAAAGGATCTGGATAGATTTATCTAACTGGGAAATTAGTAGTTTTTCAACCAAGAGGAAAGAAAATCAAACTATTTTTAAAAAAGAAATTAGGCAATTTACAAATACAGATTTATGGCTATATAAGGACCAAATCGATATAAATTCTAACAATACTTAGAATACTACAAAAGCAGGCCTTTCAAACACGCTGCAAGTTTAAAACTATTGGAACAGATATTTAGAGGCAGCCTTTCTGTTTGAATAGAATGCATTATTATGAATAAGGCACTTTGTAACTTTATGACAACAGCAATGATATTTTACTTTAAATGACAACTAACCTCTTTACTTATATATCCTTGACTGTTTCTTTTTGGGGTTCACAAAATGCAATGTTAAGATGCAGTAGAAAAATGCCATAGTCTATTAATGTCAATTAATGCATGAATTTATTCTTCTATGTATTCATAACTATTGAGTAATTTAAAGTAACAGAAATGAAGATATTTCAATGCTCAAAGGTAAAACAAGTACAAATTATAATTTTAAAAAATATGCTTTCATAATCCTGTCTTATTTTTCTTTAGGAGAGAGATGACTACGTCAATGAAAACAGAAGAGCACAGTCCAACTTTGAAAGACCATAGAGAAGGGAAGAATTTATGACCAAACAAGTGATATAGAGCACTACAAGATGTAACATGGACAATTTTGATTATATTAAATTATAAAGGTTTTGCACAAACAAAATTAGAAGGAAAGCAGAAAGCTAGAAAACAATTTTTACAGCAAATGTCTCTGATAAAGGCCTCATTTCTCAAATACGTAGAGAAATGAGTTAGTGATAAGAATACAAGTAATTTCTCATTTGACAAATGATTAAATGATATGAACAGGAAGTTTTCAGATAAAGAAATCAAAGCTATCTATAGGTATATTAAAAAAAATGCTCTAGATCACTACTGATTGGAGAAACACAAATTAAAACAACTCTGAGATACTGTCTCACACCTATCAGATTGGTTAATATGACAAGAAAGTCAAATGATGAATGCTGGAGAGGAGGTGGGAAAATTGGAGTTGTAAACTGATTCAACTCTTCTAGAGAGCAATTTGGAATTATGCCCAAAGCACAATCAAACTGCATGCTCTTTGATCCAGCAATACCACCACTAGGGCTGTATCCCAAGGAGATTATAAAAAAAGGAAATGGACCTCCATATACAAAAATATTTGCAGCAGCTTTTTTTGTGGTGGCAAAGAATCGTAATTTAGGGCATGCTCATCAATTTAGGAAAGGCTAAACCAATTATGATATATGAATGTAAAGGAATACTATCGTGCTATAAGAAATGACAAACAGGCAGATTTCAGAAACACCTGGAAAGAAAGTGAAATGAGCAGAATCAGAACACTGAATACCGTATCAGCAACACTGTACAATGATCAATTATGATTGACTTAGCTCTTCTCAGCAATACAATGATCCAAGACAAATCCAAAAGACTCATGATGGAAAATGCTATTCACACCCAGACAAAGAGCTGATGGCATCTGAATGCAGACTGAAGCATACTACTTACACTTTCTTTATTTTTCCTTTGTAGGTTTTTCCTTTTGTTCTGTTTTTTCTTTCACAACATGACTAATATGGAAATATGTTTTTCATGATTGCATTTATATAACCTGTATCAAATTGCTTACTCTTTTAGGGAGGGAGGAGGAGGGGGGAAGGGAGAAAATTTAGAACTCAAAATTTTATATAAAAAAAGAATGTTAAAGGGAAAGCAGTGACTTGCTAGAGCTCTCCCCTAAACCCCTCCAAATACCTACAAAAAATGGTTCTAAACAAATTCTAAAGCAGCAGAACCCACAAAAAAATAGAGTAAAACAAATTTCCAGCTCAAGACAACTTGGATGGTTGATCAGAAAGGTATATTGTGCTAGGCTGGGAGAGGAGCACAGTTCAGCGTGGGCATGCAGGCCGCAGAGACCCTGGGGCAGGCCTCAGAGGACTGACTCGCGGGCAGCTGTGGCGGTTTCCAGACTTCTCAACCCACGAACACCAAAGACAACTTAGAAGGTCAGTGGGAAAAGTTTGTGACTTCGGTGAGAGAGAAGCTAGGTCTCAGCCACCCTGAGGGCAGTGGCTGGCTTCTGAGCTTCTGGCCCACAGACTGAGGGGGAATCGAGTGGCTGATCAGAGGGGATTGCAGGGATCTCTTTGCCAGGACTGAGGCAGGAATCTCTTGCTCCGGTGCTTAGATCTGGGTCACAGTTCTGAGGGGCAGTCCTGGGGTGAGGAGGAGCGCTGGCATGGTAGAGCTTGTTGTGGTAGTGGAGAGGAAACACCTCGCCCCTTATCATAGCACCTTAGAAGAACTGGTACTTCTCAGGTCCCTAGAAGTATCTCTGAAAACAGCTGGACAAACCCCCAAAGCTTGGGACAGTACATTCTCCA